TGTTATTTGAAATGGCGTAACTATAACTATACCTTTCGGGGTCCGCAGCAAATTTATCAGATGGGTCACTGTTCCCAATAAAAACAGAAATTCAGATGACTCCACGGTTGGTGCGGTGGTTGGGCAACCGGCTGCCGTGCAACGTGTCGCGGGTTCGATTCCCGCACGGAACAACACTTTCTGTGATCCACAAATTGTTGTTTCGGGTCTGGGTGTTATTTTGTATGTGAACTTGGATGTTTGTAAACGCACTCACGACACAGGAGAGAATCCTAGTGTGTGTTTTTTTAAATACCCTTCCAGCTGGGGGTACCCTCCCTTGGTATGTTGTGGACTTGCCACCCTATAGTAACGCCATTATATTTGGTAAGCAGATACGAAAATAAAGATTGACTTAGTACAAAGACAGTAACCATTGGTCGGTTCAGTAGCCAACCAATGGTTACAAAAGATTTAGTGTAACGGTAGCTACTGCCTCAATCTTTTCTTTCGGTGTCACTATCCCCTTGATACCTGCCAACTACAGGACTGCTCATTTAACATTGTGTGCACCAGAACAACAATTTGTGGATTACACAAGCAGTTCCCTGCAGGAATTGATACGGTACTCACCTGTCGGTTGCCCTACCGCGCTACTGCGTCAACTATGCAATCATTGTCTGAGTTGTAGCACTATTTAGCTACTAAACCCAACCAGCCTATCGGTTAGAAGTAACCCAGTAAAATATTAATAACTTACATATTCATTACCCATAGCTCACAAAACACAAACAAAACTTATGGTCCGATATTTTAATTAAAACTTAGACAAACTAAACAGCCTCTATTCCGAGAATAATGTTATCTTTATCAAGTAAAACGTATGTTTTGTTATATTTCCTCCATCATACCATTCAATTTATTTACGCATCTAAAACTATTACTCATTAAAATTCATTATTGTTTACTTGTTAAGGAGTTAACAATAAGTACCTAGTTATTAGAGTTAGTGACTCCACAAGCCAGAAGTGTGTCAGGTTAGTATCAATGTAAAGTTAGTCACAAATTATACCTGTTTTTATGGGATAAGCCATTAAACGAGCAGACGGATCACCTGATCCGCATGCAATCGACGTCGCCCATGGACACCCGGAACACCAGAGGCGTTATAAGTGCGTTCCCGGCTGTTTGATGATTAGAAATTTGAGGCTTGTTGGGGAGAGTGGGGAGGGGGTAATTGGGCCTCCGGTAACCTCACTACCCCGACGAAACGAAGTGCAAGCGTCATTTCACATGTGATACCACTGTCTTACAGATAAACATCTGTAAGACCGTGGTATTACTCCGGTCGAGCCAGACCATTCGTGCCAAAGCATGGCTCTCCCACACTTATTTATTTATACCTATAGCTTTTTGAAATATGGCGACATCCTTTTGACTTACACTGAAATGCTTTTGCTAAGAAAAATTTTCGTGAGAATAGTCAAATTACTGGTTTGTCTATCCCTGCTGAAAAAAGACGAATAACAACTGTCGCCTTCCAAACACCTGCTAGGCTATTCTGCAACTTTGAATTCGAAAGATCGAAGTAAACTCATGTCATTGGTTGAAAAAATAATCTCGACCCATGGCAGCTGAGAATGCGCAAAATGTGCGGAAGCCTACCTGAACCACCTGAACCTTAGTTAGGAACACAGACCTGCACCAATATGACTTAGATCTTCAAAACTACTTTAAGTACTTGTGCCTTCTTAATGCTGCGACTGTTCACAAATTTATAAGCTGAACACTTCCTGTCTCCTATAAGGTGAATCACCTAAACGTTGAAGCACCTGTCCTATAAAAAATTTGAAGTCCAATACCCACCTATTGATTTAAAACTACCCTAATAAAGCGAAAAGTCTAAAAAGGTCAAAGTAAGGTTCACTAAAATTCACTATTTATCTCGTCTTCTAGTAGGTACCAGTAAATCTGTTCGTATCATCCCTTGATTTATGTCACAACATAAATTACGACCAGAGACATAGGCCTCTCCCCATACATTTTGCGTCAACTTTTGCTGTGAAAGTGACTATTTATTAAAGTACCTAATCTTCTTTAGCCTAGTGTTTTCTTAGGCTTTTAGGCACTTAGAAGAATGATGTGTGAAATAGGTATGAAGTTACTGATAGATTTATTATATTCTAGACTGTTTTTGACCTATTATGTCCTTGACTTTTTTATTTTTTTAAAGAAGTTTTAAAGAAGAGAGAACCAGCTCATTCTCTTACGAAATTACCTAAATGGTTGCAAAAAAGGAGACATCCAGCAAAATTCTAAATCGGACCTTATGACGTCACTTTGATTGTTTTAGGCCAAACTGTGTGGGCTTATCAAATAAGTAGTTGACCTTTGTTAAATATTCCATACTTAACACTAAAATAAAGGACATACATAATCAGCTCTGCAAATAGTTTAAAACTAGTTCTAATTGAACACGTGTATTACACGTTCATTAATTCTCAATGAGGATGATTAAATCGAAGTAAATACTCAATGGACCAGGTTCTAGAGATAACAGTGTGACTTGTGACACATTAATGTCTTTAATGTTTACTAATCTATACTTTAATGAAGGATGTGCCTATCATTTGATATCGCATTGATCTAGCCCTGGCATATACATACTTTGTTGATAGTTTATTTACTCTTACTAGATGTAAACTAAATGATATGTTCTAAATTATATAACCTGAAGTCTGCTTAAGTGTATTTCTATTCTTAACGGGCTGCTTTTAAGTGGATAATGTACAACAGCTAACAGTTAGTAATATTAAAGTGCTCATATCTTCAAAAAATAATTAAAAAGATAAAAATAGAATATTCGGATTATTTTCGATGTAATTTTTTTAAACATATGTTTAAATATGGTTTGGGTACAAGTAAGTAATAGCAGTGGTATGGGTAATAAAACCTTTTTAAAAGAAATCTTTCTGTCTTTTGCACTAACACAAAACCCCAAATATAAAAGCGTAATAAGAAACGTTGCCGTCAGTGTCAAATTGACAGGATTGATTCTAATTTGACAACCGTTCGGCTTGTTTTGTAAACAAACGGCGTTTATTTTGGAATCTTATTGGGTTAGTACAGGAAACGAACTAAAATACTTGATATATAGTGAATTAAATAAAAATATTTTCTTGTTTCTTTTCACAGATTCCCTGAAAGATCCGTACATATGTGGATCACCGACATGTAACGGTAAGTTTATAATCAACTTTTAGTTTTAACACGTAACTCGCCTCGAATTTTACTGCACTTTTTAACCGACTTCCCAAAAAGGGGTTCCCTAAGAGGTTCTAATATATTTAGATGTTATGTAGCTGAAACAAATTACCTTACCTTAAGAAATTAGTATTTGTACTGTCTTTTCTTATTTTCAAATGACGCCACCTACTTAAATGAAGATCATTTTTTAAGTTTTCAACAACATAGCTAGTTATTTCTGAATTTCAGTGAAAGATTCCAGACTAACCATGAAATAATTAAAAAAATAAAATAAAATCTAATTAATATAAGAAATAGACTACTGTCTTTGGATACTCTCAATGAGTATTTAACAATAAGAAAATAAGTATGATTTGTTTGCTACAATAATTTATTTAATTCTTTTATATTTCAGAGCCAGAGAAATTCAAGTATTTACTAGACGTAATCTACCACTATGAATACAAAGTCAATGTTGAGACCTACTTTGCTGGCTCCAGTAATAACCGGTCCACACTGGATGTTAGGGCTGTGGTAAGTTCTTTTATTACTACATAGTTATAGGCTATGGAGTTTCTTGCTTGCTCTTCTCCATTCTACACTATACTTCGAAACAAGCAACAAATAATAAAATTTTTGATGTTTCAAAAATGCTTAGTTATTGATTAATTTAAATAAATGCTTTGATTTTGACTACCTTCGCTTACTTCTTACTAATATTATAAAAGCGAAAGTAAATTTGTGTGTTTGTTACATCATGTCAGATCAGCTGTAGGGATCGGTATAAAACTTGAAACAGGGGTAAATTATGGTCTGGAATAAGACATAGGCTACTTTTTTACCTCATGTGACCGTAGATGAAGGCGCTGGCAAAAGCTAGTGTATCACACTAATATTATAAATGTGAAAGTTTCTTTAATCTGAAGTTTGGCCGTCAAATGTCAAAAAAATCATGCTGAAATGATAAAATTTTGGTATACAGGCAGGATATGGGGTGACTTAGGTGATAGGATACTTTTATCCTGATTAAATGCTCCCATGGGATAAACAAGAATCATAATTCTATGCAGACAATGTTGCGGGCAAAAGCTAATATAAAAGAAAGTCTTGTTAGGTACACTTATTAAACTGTCAAACACCAAGTGGTCACCGGTGACCGCAACCTATTGTTCTATAATTGTGTTTATAATGACGGTACTCGACGAGTTAAACCAGAACTGTCTTAAGAATCAGTTATGCTTCAAATATGTGGTTCATCGGGTTCCTGCTTTTACTTAATTAAAATATTAAATTATAATCTTTTAAGGAAAATCTAATAATAATAATATCAGTCTCATAAACACACAATATCAATTAGAAATGGAAGTTCCACATAATCCAAAGGTTATCATGCTAAGATATGACTCATTGATATGTAAACTTTATCTTTTACAGCCTAAAATTCAATTTATAACACCGTGTGAGGGTCTGCTGCAGCTGACTGATGTCACCCTGATAGATCAAGATGAGAACTACCCGGTGGAGAGAGCTGAGAAGTTCATTCACGCTGTCTCACTCTTTGATCTTCGGTAAGTGATAATGGAGGCATTTTTCTTAAGATTTTTAGGCTATAAATAAATGTTTTAACAATGCGATGAAAGTGTGTCATCTTCCTATCGCTTGCCTCATTGGTCGAGCGCAATTGTCGAGTGAGTCTTTGGTTAAATCGAGACAAGCAAAGAATGACTAGACCTTTTTCGGATTTTCAAAATCCTCAGTAAGAGCCTGTAGCCTGGAATTGTGCATATAACAATAGGCCCGCTACTCCTCTATTGCCTAGGTATATAGTCATAAAAATTGGGTGTTCCATTGTTTATGTGCAATCTCCTGGTTTTGTTGGGGTTTCAAAGGCAAGATGTTAATGTTTTACTTTGAAGCTATTTATTTAATTGTTTATGACTATTAATATATACAACTTTAAATATAAAAAAAAATGATTTAAAACTAAATTTTCATTTCCTCATCGCTACCGTGGAGGTAGGGTGCCCAAGGTTTTACTTTGTGTTTATATTCTAAACCTCGAGCAGATACGGGTTGTGGGGGCTCCGGCTCGAATTGCTGGAGTAGGAACGGGGTGGGTTTTAGTCAGTAAGAGTCTGACAATCCCTCTCGTCTCACCCGGGCGGGAGAAGTCAATGGACCATTTGCCCACTCAAAATAACGAAATAAATTTTGTTTCATTAGATTTAAGGAATATTACTTTCTTTCAGATTCGCATTCCACGATGGTATCGTCTCAGAGATATGTCCGGAGCCGGAGGAGGAGGATTGGGTACTTAACTTCAAGAGAGCCATCCTGACTCTCTTCCAGAATACCATGAAGAGGTTCGATATTAACTTCAAAGGAGTTGAGGTATGTAATTATTGGTTTTATTTGAAACATACTTTACTATAATTATATTGTACTAGGAGACTAACGAGTGCTCGACAATGCAACTGCCAAACAAGAGGTCTCGGGTTCGATTTGAATACGAAGGGAGTTTCTTGCTCGTTCTTCTCCATTCGAATCTATATTTTGGAATGAGCACCTAGCTTCACTGACGGACTGACTGACTATTATTTATTTTGTATTTGTTGACGTTTTAAAAGTACCAAAATATGGTTTAATTGAAGTAAATGCTTTGACTTTGATTCCCCGGTTGGCAAGTTAATGTTGGATTTATCCACGGAATATAGAATACAATGGAAGTAGCTTGAAACAATATTTCTGCCAGAACCGGTGTCGCCAAACTAATACATTTATAATTTACTCATACTATAAATCGGAAATTACGATTGGTTAGAAAAAAAATGGGCGTAAACGAAATGCAAAAAAAATATCATACGATATGCAACTTTAAAACCAATGTACTATAAATCAAAATAAAAAAGTATGTTTTGGACTACCAAGTACCGCCATTCGTCGCTAGATGGCGTTTAACAATGCCATCTAGCGACGAAAAGTGGTACTTGGTTTGAACTTTAACGTTGTAAGAATAAAGGTGATATTTGAATGGCTTATCACTGGCTCGAATGCGGGTCTCTACTCAGATAGTGATGTAGGATAATTCGATAAAAATAATATCGATAATATGAAAATGTGTTTTAAAAATAATATGAAAAAAAATATTGACTGCTATAGTGTGACAGTATTAAAATAATAAAATTAATATGTCGTTGATAACTTTTTAAACGTAACAAAAAAGGGTAAGTATTTATTTACATGTAAATCAAAAACCATTTTGTTCGTATTTTTTATTAGTTTCTTTTTTCAAAAAATCATTTTTTTTATTTCACATAGGCAATATAAGTAACAACTATTACATAAATTTTTACAAACTTTATATGGATAATGTGATAAATGAGAGGGATGGCGATAAGGATGACGGTGCTGATCTGCTCCGTGAAGTGAAGGTTGCTTCCAATCACGTCGGGGTCACCACTAAAATAATAATAAAAAAATAATCTAAATAAATGTTACATTACACTTGCATCGATATCAATCGATAAATTCAATATGTGATTTGACTACATAACTATTTGAGTAGCGTAGAATTGGCGAGAATGTTCTATTGAATGGAATAAATCCAAAATAAACTTTATCTTGAAGGCGTAAGGTTGATTTTGACTAACCGTTTTAGTAAATAATATTATTTTAATAACTGTTTTTGTAAATTGAAATAAAATAAGATTTCTACAAGAAAACAATAAAAATTGTACTTACCGATGATACGGAACACCTCCATTTTTACGATTTTTCGGCTGCTATCATTTTTACACGCCAAAACGGAACAAAACGGCATAGTTGAGGAAATATGTATTTGACACGAGACTAGCAACTCGACGCCATGTTCGAACGAGATTGAACTCAAATTTGCCTCGAGTAAGCAGTGCACAGCTTAGCTGTGGCACGCGTGCCACGCCTGCTTGCTACTTCCATTGTATTCTATATTCCGTGGATTTATCAGTACCTAGTGTGATGTTTCGAATATAGAGAGGCTTCTTTACATCACTGTACAGAAGAAACGGTCTCGGATTCGATTCCCGGGTCGAGCAAAGCATTAAGTATTGGATTTTTTATTTATAAATGTGTTATTTGTTATACTTAAACCTAATTCTAAGTGTTACAAACACTTTCCTGAAAACTGAATCAAAATCGGTTCAGCTAATTGCGAGATATACGCGCCCAAACAAACATACATACAGACAGACAGACAGACCAAACAACCTTTTTTAAGTCGACAAAAACGACTCTGATTTAAAAATATATTTTCTATTTTTCTCCACAGCAAGACATCCACGGTACATGCAACGTGGACTACACGGTCCGCGGCCAAGAGAATACGAGCCTTATCCTAGTGAAAACAAGAGATCTTTCACAATGCACCAACCGATACAAGTACATGTCTATTCTGCAAACTGTGAGATACGACTTTCAGAGCGTGAGTATTATTTTCTACTTTTGAAATAGTAAGATTTCAATCATCAATAGCCAGTAATAAGTTATTACAGAACTAAGAGGGTTCACTATAATCTCCATGTTTGGCTAGCGGATTAGTAAACGCAGTTAGCTTCGACGAACGAACGAAGGGTTAACTTCACATTAAGTGCCCCTTCACATTAGGACGTTAGCAGCGCGACAGTAGCGCGGCAGAAGCGCATTCCTTCACATTATAAGAACAGCCGAGCGTTAGCAGCTCCTGTCATTCAGTGTGACTTCACTCCAACCGGGGCGTAAGGAGTCATTTGATGGTTTTCCCCCCTATAAAGTCTTGAACCAAAAAATATGTTATAGGCGGCGTAATAGACAGTTTCTCTATATTAAATACTAGCAGCCCGTCCCGGCTTCGCACGGGGTAGACAATTACTTATTTTTGGAAATTTGGATTGCTGTAGTGACATAACTACAATAGTTGGACATATGCTACCGCGGAGTTTTTTGTAGACATTATGATGTTCTTCAATATTGTTGTACATTATTTTGTTCTATCGCTAATAGTTTCGGCAGCGCATTCGACGAAAGACATTTTAAGACTCATTTTTCTACACCTTCGGTTACATTGTTCAAATTTTAGCAAGGATCCCTAATTTTTTTCAAAATGAAATGTAGCCTATGTCACATTGGAAGAATGTAGCATTCTATTGGTGAAAGATTTTTTTAAATCGGCCCAGTACTTTTTGAGCCTATTTATTTTACAAACATACAAAAATAGGTACAAATCTTTCCTCTTTATAATATTAGTATAGATAAATAGCAGGTTACACCCGTGAATATACTGAGAAAAGCTCTACTAGTTTCAAGCCACAGAGGGGTTCTTCCTCATGAGCAGCGTTTGCGGTCGCTGCGTGTTTGCGCAGCCCTTCGCTGACTCGAAACTAGTACAGCTTTTCTCAGTATATTCACGTGAGTAACCCGCGAATATTAGTTAATTTAGTATGTCTCACGATAGATCATTTACATCCACACGTCTATGGAAAAATAATTATTATTTTATGATATTTAAACATTTTTTTACAGAGATTCCAAACATGGCCCGTATTGAAATCGGAGAGCAAGTGTCGTATAACAGTAGACCACCACATATACAAGGCGGTCAGTTGCCGCGAGCGACATCTGTTCGAGCCTTTCTCCGGGAAGAACTCCGGAGCCATGACCACTGTAGTACAGGATCTGGTGTTGATTAGAGAACTGAATAAGACTGATTCTGAAGTTATTGAGTCGCAACCTAAAGGTAAGAATTAATATTGTTTATAAAATAAAAAATAAAATAAAATAAATTTATTTCAGACATACTGGGTCCATACATTTACAGTTTAATATTATGAAATATATATAATTCTTAATTAATTTAATTCAATTTATTTAATTTAATTTATTACATTATAACACCGCACTATCAATCATTGTTTTTTTTTTATATTGTCAATTTAATTAATGTCAATGTAGGTAAAGATTTATATTCAGTATATTTTTTAATTTATCGGTTAGTGGAATACGGTGGTAGATTCCCGGATCAGACAAAAGTGGTTGATGTTAATGTTGTTCAAAAATAATTACTAATAGTGCGTTACGTCATTGCACGAGTGCTCATGCCTTGCTCGGCAATCACACACTTCCGAGCAAGGGATTTAAGGATCGACTCCCAGTTCAAATCAAAACAAAAAATATTTCATAAGTTCTGGGAACATTTTTTTAGCATATAATTTTATTTGACTTTATTTATTATTTATTTTATTTTATTTTATTTTACACTTTAATGCACACAAAATAAGGTACATAAGGCGGACTTAATGCCATATGGCATTTTCTCCCAGTCAACCTTTGGGTTAAATGTAAGCTCAGCGAAAATGGGCCTGTGTAATATCCAAAAAAAAAAAAAAACAAAATAAATAACTAATAGTAATAATAATAATAAATACTGTATAACATATTGAATAAAAATATATAATAAACACAAAATATGTACATACATAAATAACTTCATATATATAATTATAATATAATATAAATTGACGAAGATATAAATTAAAGAAGACACGAACTCAGCGTTGTAGCGCCTTTAAATAGGCCTCACGAACACTACGTTTAAAAGCCATTATTATATATTATATATTATACTATTATCATTTTATTATTATCTTCATTTATTTACTTTATACAATAAATTTAACAATAGACCTTTTTTTTCATATTGATGAAAAGTGGGTGTTAAACCAGTGATTACCTGTATAGTGGGGCGCCGTAAGGTTTATACACCAACAACACCAACAACAACAATACAACACCAACAACAACAACACAACAACAACAACACAACACCAACCTTCTCCTAATAATAACAAATACAACAAAAAATAATTAGTTAAATCGGTCCAGCCATTCACTCGTGATGCCGTGACCAAGGGAAAAAGGGATTCATTTTTATATAAATAGATAATAAATATAATGATTGTATGGGACCAATAAGTTATTGTCTTACATCTGAAAACGTTTTTGTGTTGTAGGCAAACAATTATTTTCCGTTTATGACAAAATGCAAAGCTTTTAAATTATATTCTGAATGTTAATTTTATCATATTTCTATGCACTTACAATGGCTGTCGATGGTAATAACATATGTATTTATTATCAGAACTGTCGAGGGATCAGGATCAAACTGAATACATTGTACATTAACATACATAGGTACTAAATAAATATATTTTCTTCCGCAGCATGGGTCGAGATACCTCGTCGCTCGAACTTGTTACACCACCACATCGTGTACGTGGGAGATGACACCGGAGGACTCAAGTCTGCTAGGGACGTGCTCAAACTGTTGTGCATGTAAGTATTATTACTTTGTAAATGTATTTTGTGAAATATTATGATAAAGATAGTGGTTGTGTGTTTTGGCATACAAGTTGACCTATTTATAATAGGGTAGTTGCCTAAATTTTATTTTAATGTCCGTCTGGTACATTAATTTAAAACTTTAGACGCGTATTTTTTCTTTTCGTACAAAATTTAATACTTTCAACGATATATTAATTTGAAACATCGTGTGACGTCACAGCGTGCCACATTTTGTAGCACGGTATGACGTAACGACCCCCCACTCCTAAATTTAGCGCTATTTTATCTAAGTATTGCAACTTAATACGAGAAAAAAAAAACGTGTCTAATATTTTTTCATTATCTAACTGACTGACTAATTCGATTTTTAATTTTCATACACTGTCATCATCCCAATTGAGTCCTTTAATATTCGGGCGTTAGCCTTAACTATATAGGTGTAGCTAATACTAGATATGCTCCTTGACTTTAAGGAAAATAATGGGTATGAAATTATATTTTCTCCACATTCCAGGGTAAAAGACACGACTGCAGAGAACCACCAGTCCCTGAACGTGGACGAGAACATGGACAGTGGCTCCACTGTCGGACTCTGGGGACGACTCGTCCGGGCGGCCAGGCCTCTGCACTACCCCGCACTGTCGCAACTACTGGCGCGAGCCCCTACTATTTGTAAATCTGCTAAGTGAGTATATTTCAACTAAATCGCGGGTTACTCACGTGAATATACTGAGAAGAGCTCTACTAGTCGCATGTTGCGCAGCCTACTGACACTGACGGAGTAGGCTGCGCGACATCGCCGCGACCGCGCACGCTGCTCATGAGGAAGAACCCCTCTGTGGTTCGAAACTAGTAGAGCTTTTTAGTTAATTTAGTGTCTCACGATGAGTATATTTTGTGTGGGATTTGAGGTAAAATGGGGTGTTTTTTGTTCCTAAAAAATGTTAAATGTCTATTGTGTGATATAATGTTTAAGAGAGAGACGTTTCAAAGGGCAATTTATAAGATTTCACGTGACAGCCGTGGGACGGCGTTGCTGGGCCGGCTGCGCCGTAGTGATACTATAACTGGACTGAAAACCGACGTGAACCAACATTTGAGTTGTGTTTCGCTGTTTAAGTTAAATTACTAGAGAGCCAACCTCCTGCCCTCAACCCAATCCCCAACCCCGCAAAACCTGATAAAGCACTTGTAACGCCTCTGGTTTTCCGAGTATGACTGCTTACCATCAGTTATCCTTTTGCTCGGTTTGCCGTATCGTACGTACATAGTATAAAACAAAGTCGCTATCCGCCGTCTGTCTGTCCCTATGTATGCTTAAATCTTTAAAACTACGCAACGGAATTTAATGCGGTTTTTTTTTAATAGATAGAGTGATTCTTAAGGAAGGTTTATATGTATAACTAGCTGTTGCCCGCGACTTCGTCCGCGTAGAATAATGACTTCTGGCAGAATTTAGGCTTTTGAATTAGTTTTTATCAAGGGATATTCTACGGTAATGGATGTCGTCAGAATTGATTCAGTCCCGTAGATGATAGCGTGATAATATGTAGCCTATATGTTTACCAGACTTGTTAGTAATATTCATGCAAAATTTGAAATAATAGTGCAGGACCTTTTATGATCATCACGGCCATACATACAGACAAACAGACAAAAATTCTAAAAACCACATTATTGGCTTCGGTATCGATTAGAGATCACGCTTCAAATATTCTTTTAAAAAATATTCAATGTACAGTTTTGACTTTTCTACGATTTATTATATGTGTAGATAGCTGTTGCCCGCGACTTCGTCCGGGTAGATTAATGACTTCTGACAGAATTAACCAGAATCAATTCAGTGCCCAAGTAAGATTTACCTATTTTGAAATGATTTATCGTAGTTTCAATAAATAAATAATCCCGCAGGGATCTTACCAGTACAGTGCCCGATCACGTAAGGTTTGAGTAATAAAAACTATTCTATCGACTATTGTTGTACCGAATCTCTCTAGAATAAGTTCAGTGGTTAAGAGTTAGAGAGTCCTGGGGCATTGACGCATAGTTCCCGTTCTCGTGAGACATCTGTGAAAAAACTATCATACGTTACCCAGGTCCCAAATCATCGTTTTACCGAATGTAATTCAAAAAGATTCAATGATTCTAAATTCAACGGCTAAGAAGATTTATACAAACTCTCATTCCCTATTTTATCCCCTTAGGGGTGGAATTTATCAAAATCCTTTCTAAAGAGATACCTATGTCATAGTAACTTTATGCATGCAAAGTCTCAGCCCGATCAATTTAAAACTGGCAAAGTATCATACTTTGGGGTGAGAATGTTCAAAAACCTTTCTAAAGGGACGTTTACGTCATAATATCCATCTGCACGCCGAATTTCAACCCGATCGGTGTAAAACTGACAAAGCCTCACACAAACGTTCATCCCCTATTTTACCCCCTTGGTGGAAATTATCAAAATCCTTTCAAAGCGGATGCTTACGTCATAACATCTATCTGCATGCCAAATTTCAACCTGATCGGTTTAAAACTGACAAAGGCTCATATAAACTTTCATCCCCTATTTTACCCACTTGGGGGTGGAAATTATCAAAATCCTTTCACAGCGGACGCCTACGTCGTAACATCTATCTGCATGCCAAATTACAACCCGATCGGTTTAAAACTGACAAAGGCTCATATAAACTTTCATCCCCTATTTTACCCACTTGGGGGTGGAAATTATCAAAATCCTTTCATAGCGGACGCCTACGTCGTAACATCTATCTGCATGCCAAATTACAACCCGATCGGTTTAAAACTGACAAAGGCTCATATAAACTTTCATCCCCTATTTTACCCACTTGGGGGTGGAAATTATCAAAATCCTTTCATATCGGATGCTTACGTCATAACATCTATCTGCATGCCAAATTACAACCCGATCGGTTTAAAACTGACAAAGTCTCATACAAACTTTCATCCCCTTTTTTACCCCCTTGGGGGTGGAAATTATCAAAATCCTTTCTTAGCGAATGCCTACGTCATAACATCTATCTGTATGCCAAATTTTAGCCCAATCTGTCCAGCGGTTTGGGCTGTGCGTTGATAGATCACTATGTCAGTCAGTCAATCAGTCACCTTTGAATTTTATATATACATGCATATTGCACCCGTGCGAAGCCGGGGCGGGTCGCTAGTCTGAGTATAAAACCGTTAGCCATCATTTCACTACTTTTGAGAAACCCTAATAGTCTTTAAATGTACCCTTTAAATCTTATCTTACCTTTTTATTTCGTTCTTTCCCACAGCAAACACATTCTAGACGCCCTTCCCTACATCGCAAGCCCTGGTTCGGTGGAGCTTATCAAAGAAATGATCATAAAGAACGCAGTTGAGGACGAAACCAGACACGAGTGGCTTATGTCCATGGCTATGATACCACGGTGAGTTGCTAATATAGACTTTATATCAAGGACCATAGAGTAGGTTTTTAAAGTTGTATTTGAAGCTTATTTTGTGGGTTGGTCATTTTTCTGTAGCATATGGGGTAGCGGATTTTGTAGTTGAAAATTGAACTGTATTGTTAGGGTGATAGGATTGATTTTTAAATGTTAGTATTAGTTGATGATCGATTGATGGTAATGATCTAATCAGAAGTCTTAAATAATAGCAATTTCATTCCAAGAGCAACGAAATAAGAACTCTATAAATAATGACAAGTAGCTCTTTATTCTATAACAGAGTACATGTATGTACAGAGTATTACGTCTTAGCGCTAGAGTCATTGTCTCCTTAACAATGCATAAACGACTATATTGCTTATAGCATAAAGTTCTTTTTCCAATTTCAGTCCAAAGAAGCAGATGTTAGACAGTATGCTGGAACTGCTACAGAAACAGAAGAATGACAAAGTGATCAGTTTCACAGTGTCTTCAATGGTACACTCGTACTGCAAACATAGTGGGAAGGAATGTGAGTATATATTATTTTTGTTTTTTTTTTGAATAAGCCGCTAAACGAGCAGGCGGATCACTTGAGGATAAGCAATCGGCGTCGCCCATGGACACCCGCAAAACCAGAGGTGTTACAAGTGCGTTACCGACGTGAATTTGAGAATTGAGAATTTGATGATTATGGGGGATTCGGGGATTAGGGAGGGGGAAGGGGGAGGGGTGTAATTGGTCCTCCGGCAGGCAGTAACCTCACTCATACGACGTGAAACAACGCAAGCGTTGTCCATTCGTGCCGAAGCATGGCTCTCCCGCACTTATTAGCTTTGTAATGCTTGTTTATATCAATACTGCCTCGTTGGCCGAATGGTCGCAAGTTCCACTGCCGAGCAAGCGGTCTCTAGTTCAATTCCCGGGTCGGGCAAAGTACTATACTGGGTTTTTAAAAATAATCTCAGTATGGCAATAGGGTCACCCCCTATTACATGGGACTCATAACAAAAATAGTGAAAAGTGTATGTTACATTTTACAGTGGCATAATGTGCCCTAATGTGCACCTCTGCCTACCCTAACCACCTCTGCCTAATAGTAAGAAACACCTAAGCTAAGACAGGTGACATTTATAACGACACACGACTAGCGTTTATGGCAGTTGTCTAGTCAGTATTATGACTGAATAAATACTGACGTAGTTTCTAATTTATTGCAGAAACTTTCTAGGAATGAGAATTTTAAAAGTGAAAATGTAATGTTATGACTGTGTAATGTTATACACTACTTTTATTTCTGTGTTAATTTCCAGTACGCGAATGCTGCGAAGAGGATACTCCAAGAGCTATCGCACTAGAATTCGAAAACATAGTCCAGGAGGTATCTGCTAAAGGTGTCATCAAAACTAGAGAAGATAGAAACAATGTAAGTCGATTTTAATTATTCCTTTATTGAATCAAAGTATATTATCTTATACTATTATATAAAGCGGAAGATTTTGTTTTTTTGTTTGTTTGTTTGAACGCGCTAATGTCCGTAACTACAAGTCTGATTTGAATAATTATTTTTGTGTTGGATAGCGCATTTATCGAGAATGGCTATAGGCTATAAAACATCACGCTTCAACCAATAGGAGCTGAGCAAAGCGTGTGAAACCGCGCGGAAGTAGCTAGTTATTTATAAGCATAGTGATAAATTTAATGCAATTTAATTTGATATACTCAAACGCTAACTAACTAATGCAATTGCGCATTAAATCGCGTTTTATTTAGTTACTTAGTTCTATCTCTACAAATTCTTTGTAAAATGACAGAGATGGCACGATATTTAAATACAAATTAAAATTGAGTAGCCTTTCTGTATTAGGGCGTCATTCTTAGAGTTTTATAGTTACAATAGGTTGTTTGATTCCGTGGGCAAATTGTTATTGAAGCTTTTTAACTTTAAGATTCTTAGTACTAGCACGCTGAAATAGGGCCTAAGGTATGACAATAAACAATGTCGCGGAGAACCTAACGGGTAACCGGGGCTCCGGCTCGACGTGCAGGAGAAGGAACGGGGTGGTTTTTAGTCAGTAAGAGTCTGACACTCCCTTCCGCCTCACCCAGGCGGGAGCAGTCATTCGATGATTTTCCCCTTGGTTATTTTAGAGGGCTTAAAAAAACCAACGAAAACTGAAGTCTAAAACTAAATAAAAGATTAAATGCAACGCACGCACAATTCGAGACTCTTATATTATAGTGAATAATTATAGGTTTTGAGAATGAAACGCTCAATAATAATTTATCTGACCTAGAAATTGAAACTTTAATGTTACTAACAAAAAATAATATGATTTGTTTCAGATCATAATAGCAATCAAAGCTCTGGGCAACATCGGTGGTTTTAGAAAAGAGTTTGCAGACAAATTGCTGAACATTATCGGCGATAGTCTCGTACCTGTACCCGTTCGATTGACGGCCGTAGACGCCTTCAGACGGACAACTTGCGATGAAACTCGGTAATGTATTACTAAGTGGTGTTTTGTATCGACTTTATTCCCCAGAATTAAGATTGTTTATAGTAAAATATACTTAAAGTATTACGTCGTTGGCCGAGTGGTCGCAAGTGCGACTGCTAGGTAAGAGGTCTCGGGTTCGATTCCCGGGTCGGGCAAAGTATAACTTGGTTAAAAAAAATTCTCAGTAATAGCACGGAGTCTGGAAATGGGCTCGGTATATGGCAATAGGCTCACCCCCTATTACATGGGACTCATAACATAAATAGTGAAAAGTGAGTGTTACATTGTACAGTGGCATTAAGTGCACAATCCCCATACTCAGAAAGCGGTTTAAAGATCAGATCAGATCGCCAAAAAATCTAATAAAAAATATCTTTCCACAGCGAATACTTCCTAGAAACGTTCAGAGCGGACTACATGAACTTGGAAGTACGTCTAGCGTCATACGTACAAGTTATGAAGTGTCCCGACCTGGGCACGCTTCGGAAGATCTTCCACACACTGCAAGATGAACCTGTAAATCAAGGTAATATGGTTGCTTTTTCTTTGAACTTTATTAATATTATAATGTAATCTTTGAAAATGGAATTCTATATAACGATGTTAAGGTGGCTTTTTGTTTAAATTTCTTATTAATTTTATTCCATTACGTGTACACAATTCCAATAGATGAGATTTATATCATACCATTCAAATTGAAACTCTAAAGCTTAGTTAATAAGATTGTTTCTTGATTGAACTTCATTGCGATTGAGTTTAGTGAAAATATAGAAATCAACATAATATTTATGGTAATCTACCCAATTCTTGGGTCGAATTTACAAGTACTTGTAATTTACAAGGATACAAAAGGAAATAACACGTAGTCATTTTTTTTTAAACTTCCGCACTCTCTCTTTTTCAATCTCTCTTACTCCTACTCGCTCAACTAAACTCTTATACTTTTCAATAGTAACAACATTTGTATGGAGCCACCTGAGGAACCTCGCAGAATCCTCGCTTCCATCTCGAGTGGAGATCCAAGGTCTTCTGTCTGGAAACCAGATCCCCCACCTGGAAGACAGTCCAGACTTCAGAATGTATTCCAGGAACTATGAACAGGGCGTGTTCTTTGATCAGTATAATGCTGGTAAGTGGAATGTTCAGCTATTACGTGACTTGAATTTTAGATCTAATATTATTGTCTATTTGACGTATACCTCAGTCGGCGCTGATACTGGATTCAGGTTAGAAAGACTTGTGTCTATAAGTTCAGCTATTTCGTTTATAACATTAAGAATTAACGGCTTATGTCGGAATACTCAAATGGTACTCAATTTTAAGTCGTGCTTAAGTATAGTTCTGTCTCTACAAATTCTTTGTAAAATGACAGAGATGGCACAATATTTAAGCACGACTTAAAATTGAGTAACGTTTCAGTATTCCGGCATTAACCACGTAACTGTTTGACGAGGAACTCGACTAGTTTCAAGGAATGCTGCTCATGAATATGAGCCTCTAGCATGGGTTGTAACTAGTTGAGTTCCTCGTCAAATAGTTACGTAAGTAAGCCGAAAATATAATAAATAATTTTATATGTCTCATAAAAGTTTTATCATAAAAGTTATGAATTGTTACTTAACCCTTTGAGTACCGTCATTATAGACACAATTAAAGATCAGTTTGACAGTTTAACTTTTTTAGTCACACTTCTAACTGGTTATGAATATATTTCATTTCATTATACTAAAATACTTAAAAAACAAAGCAACTAAATCTGAAGCATACTTCAAAAATTGAATTTCTAAGAAAAGGTGGTCAGCTACAGTGACCACTAAGACTGAAAGAGTTAAAGCTCATTTTTCAAAAAACAGTAGTGTGGCGTATTTTTATTGCACCCTCTTTGGCTAGTTGTGTTCCAGCCAAACACTCATGTTCTCAGTAGCCAGTTAGACGGTCTTAACAATTGAGTACTTTCCTTAATCAAAAATAAATTATTTCGACTGTTCAATACAATCAAATATTTAAAAATAATCACAACTTAATTTCAGTATATTTCCAGCAAATTTTTAAGAAATAAGTATGCTGTTTGTCGCTAAAAAACATGACGTCACAATACACAATCTCGTACAAAATTCATAGAAAAGTTTTGTTTTTGACAGTTCGATAAAAGTATCGTATTTTACTACTTTTACTTACTTTACCCAATTAGATTAGACGAGCACATACGAATCATATAAGTTTGATAATAAAACAACAGAGCACTGACGAGTCCTGCACTAGTAAAGTTTGCTCACGAATTGATTCCGATAAACTACATACAGATAATCAATACGGTAGTTGACAGGTAGTCAAATTCAATACTTTTATTGAAATGTCAACAACGATACTTTTCTATGAATTTTGTATTGGATCGCAACTTATGACGTCATTATATTTCTGCGTCAAATACCACACCTGCTTATTTCCTTAAAATTAGCGAGAAAAAATCCAAAAGTACGTAAATTTTCAAATCAAATATCAATGGATGAGAGTATGATTATTTTTTTATTATTTATTGCATTGAATAGTTTAAACAATTTATTTTAAACTAGATAAATCTGGTTCGTTCTTCCTTTTTAAAAAAATTAGAGGAGATTTTATTTACTTTTTCATTCTATCTCCAGGTGGTAACTACGAAGCGAACGTGATATTCACTCCGGATTCGTACATACCTCGGTCATTCTCTCTCAACCTCACTGTCGATATGTTCGGAGAGTCCATCAATTTGTTTGAGGTAAGTTTTAAAAGCAAGATGTGTTGGTATTGTCGCGATACTAGCGGTAAAGTCCTCTTGCACCGAAACTAAATTGTCAAACACCGAGCGCGAATTGGAAAGAATGAAATCGTCACCCTCACTTCTCAAAACTAGCGAAATAGTAAATAACCAGGACAATAAAGTGTCATACGCCGAAAAATTGAAACTTCGCCTACCCAAGGTCGTGCCCGCGATGGAATCCTCCCGCGCGCCGCTTCCGTGTGTTGTCGCCTACCCCACGTCCGAGCGCTCAGCTGACTTTGCGTCGTCGTCGGCGACTAAGCAAGCGCTCATGAAAGCTATCAAACCATGCGACGACGGTTTTCAAATCGTAGGGGTCAAGAAAACAGCAAAGTCGGGTGTCGTACTGCGTGTTGCTAACGAGCAACAAATTAAGAAACTCGAGTCTGTGTCTGCGATTCGTACCGCCGGTTTGCGCTTGGAAAAACCGAAGGGCCGTAGACCGCGTATTCTGGTCAAGGACGTTCCGGGTTCGATGGAAGACAGCGCGTTTTTGACCTCATTGTATCGGCAAAATATTAACGGCGAGCTCGAAATCAAAGAGGTGGATTTTATTAAGTCGTGTAAAATTACCCGCCGACGTACTTTGCAAAACGGTCGTAAATGGATTGGTATTGAAATCGATACCAGCATACGGAAGCATCTCGTGTCAACTAAAGAGAAATTATTTATCGATTGGGCTACCTGCCGTTTTATCGATGACGTCGAGGTGGTCAGGTGCCATCTGTGTCAGCAGTTTGGACACGTAAGAAAGCATTGTGTTGCAAAGACACCTACTTGCGGTAATTGCGCCGAAGCGCACGAAAGCGACAACTGCCCACGTGTAAAGGAAACTAATTTTATTCCAACTTGCGTTTCGTGTAAACGTTTTAAGAAACCTCACGAGCACCGTTGCGGCTCGCCAGAGTGTGGTACTTATAAAGCCAAACTAGAACAACTTATTCTGAATACAACTTATTAAATAATAGTATGGATAAGCTAACCATAGGGCAGTTGAATCTCCATAACGATAGGATTGCGACGTCTGAGTTAGATAAATTAATTGTTGATTATCAACTTGACATAGTACTTATTCAAGAACAATATCAATATACCCACTTACGGCACAGGGTAGTGCAGCTGGATGGCAGGTCGCGGGCCGGAATTTATGTCACGAAATCACCTAATTTCACTGTAACATCTATATCTAATTTAATGACGTCGCACTGTGCCGTCGCGGAGATTGCTTCGGGAAATTGTAAATTGTACGTTGTGAGCTGTTACTTTCAATATTCTGACTCAGTTACTCCTCATATTCATCACCTCCGTCACGTCTTGCAATCACTTGCGGGCTCCAAAATTATCATTGGTGCTGACGCTAACGCGTCTTCATCCTTGTGGTATGGCAAGGTCAGGGCTACTGACATGGAACGGCGCTGTGCTGTTGAAGAATTCATTGCCGAAATGAATCTCTCCATTCATAATACCCCTGATGCACCACCTACTTTTTGCAGCCAAATGGGCGAATCTTGTATTGACGTCACACTTTCTAGTGCAGACGTTAGCTTGGATAGGTGGCGCGTCCTACCAGATGCGTCGTGTAGTGATCATCGCCTGATCGTGTACGAGTTTGTTTCAACATTACCCCAGGGTCCAACATATTGCAATGATAGCTTTAGGTACAAGACTAAGGGCGCGGATTGGAACTTTTTTAGTTCATTATTTGCATCTCAAGCCA